CTCTCTCTCTCTCTCTCTCTCTCTCTCTCTCTCTCTCTCTCTCTCTCTCTCTCTCTCTCTCTCTCTCTCTCTCTCTCTCTCTCCATGTGCACAGTAGCAAAAAATCATGGCGGTGTATCTTTCCATGTTCTAGCGGAAGATTCAGTCTCGTTTTGCACATTTCAAGTCGTCGAGCGGCACGGCACTCTCTCTCTCTCTCTCTCTCTCTCTTGATGCGCGCACGCGCGCGCGCGAGCAAGAGAGAGAGAGAGTGCCACGCCCCTCCACTACTCTCAAAGTGTGCAAAACGAGAGTGAATCTTCCACTAGAACATGGAAAGATACACCGCCATGGTTATTGTCTTTTGTGCATGTCGAGAGTAGTCGGGAGTTGTCGACATACTCTCGACATGCACAAAAGACAATAATCATGGCGTTGTATCTTTCCATGTTCTAGTGGAAGATTCACTCTCGTTGATGCCTCTCTCTCTCTCTCTCTCTCTCTCTCTCTCTCTCTCTCTCTCTCTCTCTCTCTCTCTCTCTCTCGCCCCCCCTTACGGCCCGCGTATGACACCCATTTCTCTTCTTTGTTTTCATTTTTTTTTTTGAGTGTTCTTTTTTCTTCTTTTTATTGCGCTGAGTCCATGATGTAGTTGGCGGGCCCCAGCCAAGAAGCAACGACCGCCTTTCCTTGGCCGATCTCCGCAGGCCCCGGCGCGTTAAACGGGGAAGGCGCACAGCCGATAGCTGGGCCAAGTACTGGTGGTTTAACGCACCACGATTTTAGGAAACGTACGGGCCACTACAGGAACGCCCAAGTTCATCCAACTAGAAACCTTTCTACTCTATTTCTTTCCGCGGCCGATAGCTGGGCAAAGTACTGGTGGTTTAAACCACCAGTACCTGGCCCAGCTATCGAGTCCGAGCCTCGACCGACCGGTACGCCGATCCGTGCCGAGGCTCGGACTACCGGGCGCAGGCATCCCGAACGTTGGCCTGAAAGGTACGAAAAAAACGGGAAAAAAAAACGAAGCGGGAAAAAAAAACGATAAAAAAAAAGAAATAAGAAAAACGAACGGGTTCATTCCCGCTTTGCGTCAGAAACGCAAAGCGGGAATGAATCTTCCCGCTTGGCAGAGAGAGAGAGAGAGAGAGAGAGAGAGAGAGAGGAAGGGG